GTACATGAAAATAGCAATTTGGCTTATCTCAGATAGTGAAAGTGAGTATGACTGAAAATTTTCGTGTCTTCAATTTTTCACTTGCCAGACATATTATCCATACTCACAGATTAGCCGGACTATTTTTTTACGTAACTTCAGTATACTTCTCAGTAGTAGACCTATTTTTATCACTGAGAAATAAAAGGGCCTTGCATTCGTAAGCTTTAACGCATTTTGCGCCTCAACCCATCGGAAAACCCCGCCTAAAAATATATTTATTTTGCTTCGAATTACTAACCCTGCACTTCTATCCATGTTTTATGACTGGGAAAATAAGTACCGAAAATCGTCATTGCCTCCTAGACTATTATATGACTTGCTGGCTAGTAAAAAAGGGTTATTTAGTCCTATATTTGTTCGTGTGTTTATTTAATAAATATTATTCTGATATCTAGTATTGTGACAATGTACATCATTATTCATTGTAAAGCTTATATTAGATTTCTGTGTTTTGTTTAATATTTTATAAATCAATTTAATTTGTTCAAACTCCGATACTACATCAAGTCTAGAAATATTTAATTCGCTATACAGTTTGTCAGTGCTAGTTAGTGCATCATAATTAAATAATATTTTCAAAATTTTGTTCTGGAGTATTTGAACTGTGTTGAAACTAGTTTTACAGCATGTTCCCCAGACTGGCAATAAATATCTAAGGTGAGAAAGGAAAAAGGCATTATAAATACTGAGTTTAGTTTTATCAGTGAGGTAATTTCTACATTTGTATATTATTGGTATCATTGGCATTATTTTTTTGTAGTTATAAGTATTCGATATGTTCTGACCAGTTCAATTTATTATCAATCAAAAGGCCTAAGTATTTTATGTGTTGTACCTCTTCAATATCTAGATTATTAATTTGAATTTTTAAATTTTGCATTTGTTTGTTTTTTTGTTTAAATGTTATGAATTTTGTTTTATCTATGTTTATTTTGAGTTTATTACTATATAGCCAACTTAAATAGAGATTAAGATCTACATTAACTGTATTGTTTAGTGCCTTCTCCTCACCCCCCTTATAGACCAAGACAGTATCGTCGGCAAAAGTATAGTACTGTGCTCCAATGCCAGCCAATTTCAAATTCAGTACGTATAGTGAATATAGAAGGGGACCAAGGACGGAACCTTGAGGTACCCCGTACTCACTTATCAACATGTCACTATTTACATTACCCAACCTAACGTACTGCCTTCTACCCTCTAGATAGGTTTTAACTATATTATATAATGTCCCTCTAAATCCCATACAATACAGCTTTCTCAATAAAATGTCAGTGCTAACTACGTCGAAGGCCTTTCTCAAATCAACAAAAACTGCAATCACAAAAAGCCCCTCATCCAGTGCCCTAGATACATAGTCAACAAGGTCTACAGTCGCACCAAGTGTACTGCTATGTTTGACGAAACCATACTGAAACTGATCCACTTCTATATATTTATTAAGAAAAGACAACATTCTTTTTTTAATTATTTTCTCTATAATTTTTGAGAAGAGACTTATTACTTACTGCAATTGGTCTATAGTTATTCATATGTTCTCTGCTCCCAGATTTAAAAATTGGATATATTTTGCTAATTTTAAGCTCTTCTGGAAAAATACGTTCTTAAAACTGCATTAACTAAGTTTGTTATGATTTTTATAACATCAGCTCTAAGGTTTTTTATGTCTCTGGCTGTTACCCCGTCATGTCCAGGAGCAGAGTTTTGTTTCAGCTCAGATATGATCTCGCCAATCTCCTGTTCATCAGTCAGACCCAAAAAAACACTATTTTCACATGTAACATCTGTGAAGGTAGGATTCAGACCCAATGGTTGAATTTCGTCATCAAGCTCATCTACATTATTCTTTCCTATCTCTGTAAAGTGTTTGTTTAAATGTTATTTATATTAACTATCTTATCAGAATCAATCAATAAACTGTCAATATGAGTTTGTACATTTTTACTTTTAAAGAAGTCATTGATAAAGTTCCACTGCTTTTTTACATTGGTACCCGCTTTTTCCCATTTTGTTCTGAAATAATTATTTTTTAAAGATTTTATCATATTATTTATTTTATTTTTTATTGTTTCAAAGTTTAAATCTAATTGAATATTTTGGGGATTTTTTTTTTACTTTTATATAATTTATCTTTTTGTTTTATTAAGTCCAGTAACTCAGCATTAATCCATCTATTGTTTTTACGTATTTTGATTAGTTTAATATGCTCAGAGTCTATTTTGGAGGTTTGTATAATGTCAATGAGGTCTTGGAATGACTCAATTAATTTATTTTCAATATTTCGGTTGAATACAATTTGAAACTTTCGATAGTCTATACTTTTAATTTCATACAGTTCTTTTGGCTTGTGGGTCTTTATGTTTTGTCTTGGAAAATGTTAGAAGTTTGTGATCTGATATTGATATATCTTCAACTTTAACGGGGTCGTGGATATCAATGTTATTAGTGGAGAGTACATGGTCTAAAATGGTTCTTGACTGGTCTGTGACACGAGTACATTTTCTACACTAACCGTATTTTGAATTTTAAAGTTATTGACAGTTAATATGTTTCTATATTTTACTATGAGATTAGCACCATTATCCATCAGATTTAAATTTAGATCCCCGACAATTACATGTTTTGTGGGGTATTTACAGAGCAGACTATCAAAGTACTCTAAGAATTCCGGACCTGAATATGATGGAGGTTTATATATCGCACTCAGTTTAAAATGATTTTCACCTAAGGCGATACATACCCAGTTAATAGAGTCCTTCTTGCTGGATTTATCCACCTCTTGAACCTTAATTCCTTCTCTCACATATATAGAAGCACCACCACCTCTGCCTTCCCTAACGCAGTGCACTGCTTGATAGCTATTTATGTTGTATAATGGCGCATCCTCTTCATTAAGCCACGTTTCCACAAGCACTAACACATCGCAGTCCTGGTTTATGACAAAACATTGAATCTCATCCAATTTGCTTCTTAAACTCTGTATATTTGCATATGCAATGGATATTTTACGTTGAGGCTTTTCTAGTTTTTTAACTGTTTCAGATCTTGCACAAGAATGACTTTACTATTTTCATCCTTCCGCATCAGAATATTTCCATTGTTCATCCATAAAAACTTAAAATCCATATTTTTCTTATAAATTCTCGCCGCTTTGAATAATTCAAGGTTTGTTGCAGTCAAATCGTGATTTAGATACACCTTTTTGTTTTCACTGTATCCTAGGTCTTTAGAAGTAAGGTTTAATCTCTTTCTTGATTTCATAAATGTTGACTTCGAATTTTCATCATTAAATTCGATTTTTATCGGTTTGTTTTCATCCCTTGATGCATTCCCCATTCTGTATACGGCGAAAATGTTTGTATATTGAACCTTCAGCTTTTCAGAAATTTTCTTAACTATGTCTGTCAAGTTTTCGTTTGGTTTTTGAGGTATGCCTTGAACAATCACATTGTTTCTTAGGTTTACTTGTTCTTGTTTGTTTAGTTGTGATCTAATTTTGATAATATCCGATAGTAAATCAGTAATCTACAAATAGTCCCTAATTTATTTCCAAGTTCAAGCCCTGTTAGCCAAAAAGTGCCTAAGAGAACAGAAACTAAGCCACTTCTACGCGCCGTGGCACTCTACTAATGCCAGAGATCTTTGATAAATATTTAACAAATTTAGTGATGAATTTAATCAAACTAAGATAACAAGCATAACGTCTCTAAAGCTATGTATTCAAGCAGTAAAATAGTTAAATACATTTGAAATTTGTAAAATATTTGATTAAATACCTCATGAATTGTATATTGGCCCTGGACTATAGTCCAGGGCCTCCAAAACGTATCAAACATAAAAATGATCCATATATACCTCGGAGTCATTCACAACAACTTCCTTAATGCTACTGCTACTACTAGTAATGGACAAATAGCTCAGCAGCCAAAGGGATGCATTCAGAGAAAAATGAAGATTTAGTCATCAATAGCAACAAGCAGAGATAAAATAGGTTAGCCAAGTTTCAAACTTGAGCTGCGGAAAATCCTTTTTTTTTTTCGTCAGATGTCTAGTAGGTACTTCATTCTATTCGATTTCAACTGTATATTTAGTATTTCCATATTATCGTTTTTAACTCCTCCTTCGCCTCAGACCGAAAAGCTTTCCTCTTAGATGCCAACCTATACCATACCTGGCGTATTTCCGAAAGAACTTGTTGGTTAGCTGGTTGTGAGGTTGGAAAGAAGAATTAGAATTTGACAAAATTTCACCTAAAGTTCCAGCAGACGATTGTATCATCATCTGATGACACAGCTTTAATTTTGATATAGCATACTCGAAAATTGAAAATTTGAGTACTGCAAAGATGGCTTAAATCGTCTGTTTATATAAAACCTCTATTAATCAGCATAAAGAAGACCATTTCTTGTCTTCTCAAATTAAATTTGTTGATGGAAAAATTGACATTCCAATGAAAACCTGAAAATACATCGAACAAATAATATGAAGAGTTACTACATACTAAAAATCCTCAATTACTTGGTGTCCTCCCAATCTGTAAACAGGGTTTGAATCGTTAAGATGGTTAAAGTTAGCCTAGATTTTTCTCATGGCTCTTCTTCTACATCCACATCAATTATTACGGAGCTGTGAAAAATTTTTTTTAATCGGTTTTCGATTTGTTCATATCAGCTCAATTGGGCAACCAGGTTTACTGGATACTCTACTTAGCTGAGGTACTTGATAATTTTTAATTAAAAAAACTCAGCTGATGGTTTTTTCATAGCGCTATATCCACTTTTTTCTTTGATATTTTACCAACGAGCGTGCGATGAAGTGCACTTTATCGCACAGATTTACAAGTGGAAAGTACCACTTTACCGCACACTGTGCACAATTGCCTTTGCGTGCGGTAAAGTATCACTCACCGCATTTATTAGGTTAATAACTATATTATATTGTTTTTTTTTGTATTACAGTCTTACATTTGAAAGAAGACATAGCAGGAGCTACATTTATGGCAATAGCCAGCTCAAGTGCCGAGATATTCATCAACACTATTGGAACTTTTATCACGCAAGGGGATATTGGAGTAGGAACAATAGTTGGATCTGCCGTTTTCAATATACTTGCTGTACCTGCTTGCTGTGGATTCTTCTCGAATATGGTAAAATACCTCAATAGTTTATTATCAAAATCTATATAAAAATATTTTAGGTTTTAGATTTAGAATGGTACCCACTAACTCGAGATAGTCTTGTCTACGGATGCTCAGTTATTTTACTTATTGCTTTTTTACAAGATGGAAAGATATATTATTATGAAGCTTTAATTCTGGTCTTGCTATATACTTTATATATTTTACGTAAGTTACATTGAGATTTTAAAAAATATATATATTTGAACTTTTATGAATTTTTAGTTATGGTATTTAATGACAGCATTAGATCAGTAATGCATAAACTTGTCAACAGCTGTAAAAAGAAAGGTTATTACAAAGAAATTGTGAGTGAAACTCATCCCTTGCTATTGCAACCAAATGGAAAACCATGCTACAATACTGCAGTCCATGACATTATGGATTCTGATGTTACTCTGAAGGATCTTGAAGAATTAGGTAAAACATACAGCTCATTCTTAAGTTATGTTTTTTAAACCGCTCAATTATTTATTGCAGAAGATTCAACTAACATATGGGAATGGCCAAGTGAAGATACAAATAAAGGCAAACTCTGGTGGACATTCACATGGCCAATATCATTTATTTTGTACTTGACCACACCTACAACAAGAAATTATCCTAAAATGTATGCTGTAACGTTTTTGATGTGCGTATTTTGGATTGGAAGTATTTCGTATTTGGTTGCTTGGCTTATTACAATAATAGGTAAACGAATCTGGCTTTTTATATGGAAATTATATGAAATCAACTTTAAACATTTGAGTAGATTTCTATAGCTAGAAATTTCAAGTTTAAACCATTTTTAAGGTGATACCTTGGAAATACCAGATTCTGTTATGGGACTGACATTTTTGGCAGCCGGAACCAGTGTACCAGAAGCTGTCTCTAGCGTATTAGTTACAAACCAAGGTAAAAATTATTTTATATTTTTTGTCATACTGTACTGTTATTTTACTATAAAATGAACAAAACTGGAATCGAAAAGGTGTATTTAACGGCCGCCGGCCGTTATTTATCCGCCATCCTGTTAAAATTTAAATAGCGGCCGCCGGCCATTATATCGACTAAAAATATAAGTGCATTATTCCAACTGAATATTCATTCTGGAATAGGGCTTTTTTTATGTGGATTCTTAGGCACAAATGTATGACAATATAGTTTTAAATCAAAAACGCAATGACAATCCTGAACGTAATTCAGTAGTGTGAAAACTGCTCGCTATTTTTCTTAGATAATAATAATAATTTGTGCAGAAAGACATAATATGATATCAAATTTTCAAATAATTTTGTTACAGGCCATGGCTCGATGGGAATCAGTAGCTCAATTGGTTCGAACACTTTCGATATCTTACTTTGCCTAGGCTTACCTTGGCTCATAAAATCTGCGTTCTACCCGAAAATTCCAGGACAATATTGGATAACAATCAATTCGCAAGGAATAAACTACAGTGCGGCTTGTTTATTGACCACGCTAGTTTTGCTGTATGCCAGCTTTTGCTTCAATAAATTTAGGTGAGTAGCTATTATTATTGTATATGGAATGAATGTATGTAGGTATGTACAGGGTCTTTCCCCATATATTGACCCCCCCCCCCACTACAGGGGTTATGTGAAGAAACATCAAAAAATTGTAAATACAAAAGTTTCAGGGTTTCACCGAATTCGAAGTCAAATACTTTTTTGTTCTTTTTTGAAATGTCATATTTTGACAGATGGTCAGTTTTTTCTTATGGAACACCGTATATGTATACATGACTTCATATGAAAAGAGTCGAATTATCTGATGTGAAATATATATGGTTTAACTACTTTTAATTGAGCTGCTTTGGGAATATCGGACTCTAAACTAGGTCGTTTAAATCCCCCCCCCCCCCCCCCCCCCCAATAAAATTTTCTAGATGAAAAGTTATCTATAATTTTCGTTATTTTGCTCCATAAATTTTAAATTTTGCTCCATTACGCTTTAGAGATTATATCGATTTTACGGTGGAGGGGCTAAGTTAATGCGTTGATTGAGGAAGTAGGGGAAGATGCCTAACCTTATGGAAAATAAAAAGACCAATAAATGTTTTCGTCGTTAGGAGCGCTCGCGTCATCCATCTCTTTTCCTAAACATGAATTAAATTTTCAAAATGTCAGAAAGATTTCTGTAAATGCATGTCTGCTATGTGAATGCGAAATGGCAACACTGTAGCACCCGTAGCACAATAGTTGTATTCCTTTCAAGAGTTTGAAACACTCGAGCTACTCGCTCCGGTGTTTAGAAACCCCCGATTTGCAGGGAACAGATGCGTGGTACGACAAACACTTTTCGAAAGGAATAAGCGCGTGAAGCCCCGGAGCTGTTCCGGAGCTCCTCCTAGGTGTGAACGGAATACAACTAGTACCGCCAAGCACTTCATCGATTGCTAGGCTGAGTTCGGCTTTGCACTCGTTCGAACGATAAGACCCAGTTCGTTTAAAAAAAAAAATCTGTTTTTTATTTAAAGATAAACGTCAAAATGACACTATGTTGGCAATACAATGTAAAATTGTCAATGCTTTAATACAATAATAAACATCACCCTACACTTCTATAACCAAATCATTTCAGCGGTCAGTTCCTTGGGTTATGATTCTTGAGTGGTGGGGGCTATAACGTCACACTTGGCTGTCAAAGTGTCAACCAAAAGAATAACCACGGTATTTACCGATAAATAATCATTCCAGGCTGAAAATCGCCTTAGTTGTCACTTTTGAAAAATGATAACCTAAAATATTTAAAAAAAAAAAAAATCGGTTTGCGTTGCGTTTCCGTTTTTTTTTTTTCCCCCGATTTTTTAACTTTTATTTAAAGTCCATTACTAATTTACCTACTCGTTTATTAGTAAAACAAAATTAATATCGAAGCAAAAGCAAAAAAAGCAATTTTTTCGAGATTATTGACAACTCGATTTGCGTTCGGTTTTATGACCTTGCTCCAGGGCGCACTTTGCTGCAAGCTTAGGTACAAACCGACATAGCAAGCAAGCTAGGATAATCAAGCATACTCGAGTATGCTGCTGGGTGATGTGATGTTATAATTATTGTGTCATACTCCCTCACCATCAAATTCTGGGATAATAAAGGATCAAGAACACTTAATTTCTTCTGAGAGAACAGAACGAAAATCACCTTTTCTATATTTGAAATCGACGAAAAAATTAACTGACTAGCACGGCTTGAATAGCAAGCATTCCATCGAGGTCTGCGGGTGACGTCATCGTTCCTTGCCTTCGGTATTGTGCTCAAAGAGTAGAGCGTGCTGAGCGGAGCCATAATCACGTGACCAGCGAGCGAACAGAGCAGTTGAACGCTGTATCAGAGTGCCCGAAATTTTATTAAACCAACGCGAATGAGCCTGCACCGAGTACACTTTTTAATAAACGAACGGTAAATTCAAGTTCGGAGAACTCAGATCAAAATACCGAACGCACGGATTATAGGCTACTGATACTGACCTCACTCGCAGGCCCAGAATTTGATGGAGAGGGAGTAGGGAAGTATGACACAATTGACACATCACATAACCCAGCATACTCGACTATACTTGATTATCCTTGCGGAAAATTGCCTAATAAACCGATATGTTTTTAAAAGAAAAAATGGTACGCCCCTAGAGTTTTCGACAAATTGAAAATTATTTTCTGATCCATTGCCTAATTTCCCACAAAAAAGGTATCCCGAGTATTTTCTTGTTCTAGGTTAAACGTCACGAGATAAAAAAATAAAAATCAATGTGTTGTTGGATACACCACTCTGTTGAAAAAATAAGAGTCGCTCTAGGTCCGGTCCTGGAAAAGTGGAACTCAAACGTATTTTTTAGAAAGACGCTTGAAAAAATCGCAAACACTCTCTGAAAATTTGAACAAAATCGCTAAAGGCATTTTGAATCTAGTGCGTTTAGAAATAGAGTGTGAAGGTAGAGTAGTTGTTTGTCAGAGTGATCTGACGTCATCACTTAGAGTGCACTCTGGGTGCGCCTTTTCTGAACGTAATTGGGGTGTTGCACTAAATATCAACGTCAGACCCGGTAAAAACCTCGGGGCGTTTTTCAACCCAGTCCCTGAGTGGGTTTATTTAGGCACACTCTTGGCACGTCAACTCTCGATTTCTAAACGATTCCAGCGTAAAGCCTAGTACTCATAACTGCGAAATTCGCACTTTTTTGACATTGCATTGGCAATTTGACGTTTGATACCTACATGCATAAAACACGAGTAAAACATCAAAATGTCGACGCAATGTCAAAAAAATGCGAATTTCTCAGTTAAGAGTACTAGGCTTAACGCTCCGAATAAGCACCTCTTAACTTATAAACGGTTTAGAGTTACTCTAGGGTCACACTCACATCCAGAGTGCTATTTTTAAACGCAACCCTGATATATTTGTATTTAAAATTTTTGACAAATTTGCACTTATGCGTTTTTAACTGAAAAAAGCACCCGTGCACTGAAATGCATTCAGGCCAATTTCCCAAAAATTATCGATAATTTAATTTCCATTGCACTGGTTATATTATTACTATTGATAATTCTTCAATTTAATTGTCTTAATTTTTTTTTCAATTTGCCAAAACTATATACTATACCAAAATTCAAAACAAAAGTTAAATTGTAGGTATTTGTGTGTAGGTACCTAGTAAATACACACAATTAAATCGATTAACTTTCCCCAAAAGGATGAGAAATTCCTTGAGACCCGGCAACGCTGTTTAACAACAAGATCACGATTCTACATTATGTTTAATTATTTTGAGATCCCTCAATCCCTCTCATGCCCCCTCATTCACCCATCGGTCGTTGTTTACACAAAATGCCATACATTTGTTGGTGGCAGCACCCAATCAATGATGTGTTTTCCGACATCAACCGTCGCCGAAAAAAGACGGGAGATGGTATCTGGATTCATTTGAGAAAGATGGGAATAATTTTTGTCGCAAGCCACGATTATTTCTATAGAGGTTAGGTATCTTCTTCTACTTCCTCAATCAACGGTTAATGGTAGCCCCCACCACTTTTTTCCCTTTCTGACTGGGGATTCTTATTCTATCAATGTTGCTCAATTTTGCTCCGTTATTGCAAAATTTTGTTCCAAAACCTTTCCGTAATTACAGAGGTTTGAAAAATATTAATTAGACCCCTCACCAGTTTTTTTCCCTATACTAAATGTTGATTCTTTCTTATACTACTAATGTACCTGTTTTGACTGTGAAATGATACACAAGTGGAACTGTTTTCCAGTATTCTTTTATATTATCAGGAGGAGATTACAATTTTTGTGGCAGCTTCAATGACTATTTCTGACAATTCTCTTACAGTTGATTCGACTGGTTTCGATTGTTAGCGTACTGGTTTCTACCTGGTTTCGATTGTTAACATACCGCCCGCCTTGAAAGTACCTAAGTACTTCAAAAAATACAAACATAATTGTATTACAAATTTCACTGATAAACGTAATATGAAGTCACCTCCTAATCAACTGAAATCATATAAATACTATTCTAAAAACTTACTCTACTAATACAATCTCAAAACAAGGTTACTAACAAATATACTAAATTTTGTTTAGCATCATTACCAAAAACTTCTATGCAGCAAATAAACATTAACCTATAACTAAAATTAAATATACTACAGTTTGTTGAATTAAGAGTCAATGGGCAACGCACAAACACGGTTAATTGCTCGAGTTATAACACCATCGTTCATTTTTATTTTTACAACTCGAATAACATCGTCTTGACCTGGGCACAATTCAATTACTCTACCTAATAGCCGGTGCATAGGTGGAGCATTATCATTTTTCACTAAAACTAATGTTCCAACCTTGATTAAACTTTCAGAGCGCTGCTTCCACTTAATGCGGGTTTGTAGCTCTGACAGATATTCTTTCTGCCATCTCTGCCAAAAATGCTGGTACATGGCTTGAAGATGTTTCCATTTAGTCAGGCGATTGGTCGGAATACTAGTTACCTCTAGTTCAGGAAGGCTAGTGAGTGGTTTTCCAACGAGAAAGTGTCCAGGTGTTAAAGGGGATAAATCGTCCGGTTCATGGGTAAGTGGACAAAGTGGCCGCGAATTTAGAACACCTTCAACCTGTGTCAATACCGTAGCGAATTCTTCGAACGTCAAACGTGTATCACCTATGACGCGTTTGATGTGACTTTTTGCTGATTTGATGCCAGCCTCCCAAATACCTCCGAAGCTAGGAGAAGAGGCAGGTATAAAATGCCACTTGATATAATCACAAGACATTTGATTAGCAATATACTCTGAGTGCCTTGATAAAAACTCATATAATTTACTAATCTCGTTACTAGCTCCCTTATAATTTGACCCATTATCCGAATAAATATTAGTTGGCATGCCCCTCCTACTTACGAACCTTTTAAATGCAGCCAGAAAGGCTTCCGTTGTCAAATCTGACACTAACTCTATATGTATGGCTTTCGTGGACATACATATAAAAAGACACATATAGGCTTTTACCAT